CAATACATATTTTAACAAAATCTAATTATTTCTGGGAATTATCGTCCCGATAATCAGTTTTAACAATCTCCCAGTAAATAATACTTACCGATTGAGTACAAAACTCGTTTGTCAGTAGTATAGCTTTCGTAACTTTGCATGAATTATATCGGATAAGAGCCCCATAAAACTCGTCAATTCTATGCTCTGTTTTGTCGCTAGTTTTGTCGGATATGCATTTTCCAACTCAGTAGCTGAACTCGGGACTCGTGCAACCATTTTCTTTCCGTATCCTCAATATTGTCTCGAAATTGACCAAAACTATTTCTCTCTTCTTTGCACCTCTCGGGACCCTTCTTTTGGACAGGAACGTGTATGCCAAGGAAGTGACTCTGTTGATATTTCATTCTTACTGTAGGTTAAAACCAATTCTGAACTCGAGGTGTTACCGTTGTCTCGGGCAATTTCTTTTCCTCCTAATTTAGTAGGTGTACATGTTTGTTATCATGGCTCCAAACGAAAAAGATCTGGGCGTTGTTGTTCGTGCTGATCTGGGATGTTCCACACATTGCGTTAGAGCGTCATCATCGGCCATAAAGGTAGGTGGATTAGTAAAACCTATGTGTGTGGATCTTCCGAAACAGACCTATTCTCCCGTTAGCCAACAGGATACATTAGATCACACACCGAGCATACTATACAGACCTAGAATCCATGGCTAATTCGCGACCAAAAGACACTCGAACGTCCGCATAGAACGGCAACCGAAACGGTCAAAGGGTTACAATCTAAGACCTACGGTGAAAGATTGCATATTCTCGAACTGCATTCGTTTTAATATTGTCCAATATTGGGTGACATGATCCTCGTATATCAAATACTACATCAAGCTAACCACCCGTGTAGTACTCTACTAACACTATCCAGGAATGGTCACCTCAAAGGATATCCGTTTAAACGTTTGCTCTAAAAGAGAAGGCCAGACTGTGCTGGCGTCACTCTTCCGGCTTCAGAGTGTGTACTATCTAGAACTATTCTATTCCATCTTTAATTGTTTGTGCTCTAACCATCGACTCGTTCAAGTCACGGCTCGATGAAGGATTAAGCTGCACCGAACTGCTCAGCACCTTGTAGTGAACGTGCTACCAACCGAACCCAGCGTGTCTACAGATCCCATGGGATTTAATGAATGTATCCGCTTTGTGGTTGATTTAAAATAAGAATTCAAAATTGAGTCTGATTTTTGTCGCCATTTGGATACTGTCAATCAATTAACAGCTTTCTTGTGTATTGTGTCTAGCTTTCGCAAGCATTGGAGCTCACATTTCGGTCAAAAAATCATACACGCTAACCGTCACAATGTACCTAGTTAACTATGAAAAAATTTTCACAGACATGAGGATATTTTATAACCCAAGGTTAGGACAAAGTTCACTTATTGTCCGCACTTGATTTATAAGTAGACGAGCAAGATACGGTATGGGTGAATTGCGGCAGACGTTAATTCGAGATAAAATTTGACGGAATTGGGAGCGTGTTGAATGATGGGAACAACATCGCGTCAGTTCTGCGTGCAATGGATGATGAGAATCTGTGAGAATCCTCTCAGCAAATTTCACACAGGAAGTTACTCTGAAATCTTTAAAGCTAAATGATTCACAGGAATAGAAGAGAAATGACTAATAATGATTAGACCGCAGCGTAAGACCATAAAATCTTATTTGAGTAAGCCAGGAAAAATGACTGGGGAACAGTAGAGTAAGAGGGGGAAAACACATTGATAAACAAGAGTAGAAATAACTGACTGGGATGCAGGAAACTGCCTGAGCTTTCGGATTTGAAATGATAGGCGCCGCAGTTTACCAATGCAGTTGTGGATGTGGGTTGACCAACGAAGATTGCTATCTATGGTTACACGTAGATACTTGACAGAGTTCATCCTGGATAAAGGATTGCTATTAGTTACTGTGGGGTCTGTCGGATATGGGGTGAGAGTAAAACTATATAAATACTTAACACATTTACTGGGGTATAGAGTTAACCCCGTTGAGGAGGAAAATGACTGAATTTGATCAAGATTGTCGGCGAAAGAACTTAGATCAGAGTAAAAAGAAATGGGCTGGTACAACACGACATCATCTGTATATTTGAAAATTCGCGTGGGAAGAAACACAGGGAGTATCACAAATATAAGTGGAAAATAAGCACGAGCATCGTTTGTTTTAACGTGCTGATAGTGTCATCGGGGTAAAAGATATGAAAGAATATATCTATATTTCAGAACTTAATGCCTAACCATAGAGGTTGAGGACGGTGGCAGCGAGAATTCCATTCGGTGAGCCTGCTACTATGACACATGCAAACCCAGTGGCAATGAAACATGACAGTTGAGCTTCGGCAATCGAATTCTTAATCACCTATTGGTTTACCTGCTGTGAGTACAGAGTATTAATTAAACTGATTGAGGCATCCTCAGGCACACATACACATACACATACACACACACGAGCATATCTTATGAATAAGTGTGGTTTTAGTGCGCGGGGTGAATACTTCATATATGATGAGATTAATTGCCATCTGATGCCACAAAGAGGCGCGCAAACAGATGAAAGTACGTACGCACGATCAGAATCGATAGAGAATGTCAGTAAAGGTGTCATTAGTTTAGTGACCTAGTTCAGGCTAAAGAATTATGGTTTCAGGATTTCGACAAAGTCACATGAGCCATCACCTAGACCACGCAAATCATTACGGCATGCGTGCCAATCAAACTGCGCCGATAAACATGTATGGTAAGATCTCTATTCAACCACTCGGTTTCTCAGACCACGAGGGTCCTTCGACTCATCGCAGCATTTCATTTCGACGAGTTGATTATAGCTCATCTCGGTACAATAGAGCAATCGCTTACGCGGATACCGAAGTGAAACTGGCGATCAAGGGACATCTGGTGTTGAGCCCAAAACACAATATTTGTTATTCTGCGCTAATTAAAATTAGTATCGTTGAAATAGTTAGACGTCCAGTAGCCTCGTTGGGGTTTGAACCCTCGCCGCCTACGCTTTCGTACAACGCACGCTTTACCAGGTGTTTGATCTACGAGGTCACACCGATGTTTTCACATTCGAATCACCTATCGTACTTACAAAGGTACATGACATTCACCAGGTAACCAGTAAGCTGACTCCCACGACAGGTTGCATTTATCGGAGAGCCTAGGCTGCTTCCTGAATATGGACCTCGGTTAGCTGACGTACTGGCTCTTTTACTCCTCGCATTAATACGAGCAGTGGGTGATATTCGTTTAAATTATATCAGTTTGTCGCCTGATAGAAAACGATACTCTACGAATCTTTTCATAATGCAAACATTGAGCTCTATTCCTTCACGTTTTACTCCGAATACGCTTGCCAATATTTCAGGTTGTGGTGAGTACGGCTGCTCCTCATCACATCATTCGGTAACTTTGGAATGCAAACTACAACCCAGCTAAGCCAATCAGCCCTTCTCCGATGCTTGTATTTTGCGTACGTGGTGGAGGCTCATCAATCGAGATCCATAGACTGATTGGATCGAATATTATTATTTTTACTACACGGCTATCGGTGATCGGACAGCAACAAATGATTTTAGGAAAACTTTCACGAAATAGGAGAGAGTATAGTTAGGTCAGTATTTGCTGAATATGATAGAGCATTTCGGGAGTTACCTGATCGCTTAGTATCTCAGAATCTAATTGTAGTGAGCTGAGAAGGGTGAATGAAGTGTATTTCATCCGAAAAAGCTGTTCCATCATTCTACACGTAGATGATTCAATGTTAAGCATGATGGGGACAGTTCTCATCCATCCATTCCGATAAAAGTACTGTGGAACAGTGACCTCATTGTGCGATCCGAATGAGAGAATGCACGTCGTTGTCTACAATTATCAACCCTTTGGTTTCTCGCTAACTCCCTCCTGACAGTTGTGTATCTTTGTTTATTCAATGAGAGGAAGTGAAACACGAAGAAGCCAATGACCTCCAAATTCAGTACCAAGATTTTTGTGAGCATAGCTTTCCTCTAACTAAACTGAAAACAGAAACCAACAACACACATTTGGACCATGTATCTCTATCTTTTGCAAGTCACTTTGTTTATCTTACTAGTACGCGTATGCCTCTGTGTGCGTGTGTTTGTCTCCTTCCGCTGATACCAGTGAACCATGCGCGATCAACGCTTGAGCCATTGCTTACCTCCATCGCATGATGCTGCAATAGGATTCATAAGCTACGCTGGGACACCAATAGATCATGCTCGATCGATATACGAATCAGTATTGACCAGATTCACATCCAGTTTGTTCGACGCTTTCAGGTCATAATCCATCTCTCTGACACCAACACAAGAGCACCTTCAAGCTCTGAACAATCAAAATGACCATTTGGGCCATATTTTCGGAACGAAATGAGATATCCCTATTAAATCAACTGCAATAGAAATAATGTAACGAGGGCTGTCAAAAGATGCCATAATTTTCATAAGAGTTACGGAAAATACAAGTTTAAAAATTGGAATGTTTCCAAAATGCACTTTTCTGAGTATGTGCTCTGACTTCTATAATCTTTATCGCTGAAATCATATAGTACTACTTAAACACTTCCATCACAGAAAGTAAACGGGGTAAATTTAGGTTAACGTATGACATTCACAAGTAGTAAGTGCAAACTGTCTGCGAACAATTGTATTGCCATTGTCGCATCACTAAACTGAACGCAGAAACCAACAACACACATATTTGCACAATGCATCCAGAATAATTTTACTACATCTGTACATGTGCGTAGGGCAGTTTAATTAACCAGAAAAATGAGGCCCTTGCATTTACTGGGAAAACATGCCATCCTGTAATAATCGCTCATCAAATCTGATAACTAATGACAACAAGATGACCGGATACGGTCTCGGTGATCAATTACACAAAACCATGACGGAACAGTGCCTGTTACGCAATCACCGGAGCATCGGGGAAGGACAAATTTGATATTCGATTAGGCAATAAAGTAAACAAATGTTGTTTAATTTTCTATCGCACCGTGATTTATACACCGATTTCAAGCGGTGGTGGCGCATGTGGGTTAGTCATTGTCATCGGTGTGCTTTAGACCGTATGGTCTGAGGTTCGAATCCCGCCAAACCCACTCAACTCTCCAGTGGTTGGCAGCTTTGTTGTCACCCAACCGAGTGGCGGTGCCTTACGTGGTTCGCCACTTCAAGTCACGTCGGACTTAGGTCACCGGTTTCTATCCGTGAACAACAAGATCCCAGTGACTATGGGGTCCACCCCGTCTGTTGTTCATCACACTTAGGTGAATGATAAACATATTCAAAAAGTTGATCCTAACTAGAAATAATAGTAACATAAAAAAATTTACCACAATTTTTCGAAAACAATCTACCCGTCATTTTTCACCTGGCTCACAATGTTCAACTGTGACATGCACTGGTTGTAAAAACAACTGTAATACAATTCCATACAAACCGTTAACCGTTAAAAGCAACACGGGCCCCCACTGGACGATAGCGCTGAGAGAAAAATTCAATCTCGATTTGATCAACTACCCTGACGAGAACCGCAACTTGACCCAATACATTTTCAACAATTCAAAATTAACAGATTGAATCCACTGTGCGTGTGTCTTGACCATATCGGTGTAGTGCCAATCATATAGTACGTCGCTTCTGCCAGATGATGATGATAATGATGATGATTTGAGTAGCCCGGTCATACGTGTCTCATGCAATGATTTTTGCATTTTTATGTCCATACTCACCCACCTGTTCAAAACTTTAATCTATCTCACTAACTTCACCTGTCTCTCTCCCTCTCTCATGCACACACACTTTCCATTCTTTCAGTCAGGGGCCTAATCACAGAACAAGCGTTGCCGCTGCTGCTGCTACTGCTGCTGTTGGTGATATTAATGCTCTTGTTGTTGTTGTTGTTGTTGTTGTTGTTGTTACTGCTGTTGTCGTTGTTGTTGTTGTTGTTGTTGTTGTGTCCGTGTGACCTGGGTTTGTTCAGCATCCAGTTCAAACAGGATCGCTCAGTTCAAGCCAAGATTGCCCTAATCGGACTAATCAAAGGTCATCCTTGTGTTGTATATACGGGTGCTAGTGCATTTTGTCCGGTGAACATTTTCTTTCATTTTTTTTTCTTTTTACTAAAATCATTTAGTGTAAGCAGATCAGTGTAGATAGATATTGGAGATGAAAAATGTGTGATAACTGATAGGTTTATTAGTAATTTTGCGATTTTCAGATTGAGACATCCGTGTTTTGAAGGATCATGTACTGCAGAAGCCAGTTTTAACCTGAATGGGTACCCGTATTGTTTGCTATGTGTGGCCGGTGTGTTTGTACCTTGAATAGTCATCTGTTTACGGTGACGCTGACCACATGTGTTCTCCGGATGACTTCTGGGGGTCATCAGTTGACGAAGGCAAGAAGGTCGGTAATGACGTAGTTCCGTGGTCACGTGCTGGTTTCATATAACAATACAAATAAAAATACAGAGAGAGAGAGAACGAGAGAGTAATAAATTAATTGTACTGACTCCGTTACAGGTGGTACCCAACAAACATCCTGACTTTCATATCCGATTTGTTTCTCCCAAAGCTTAGTTTACGGGATTGCATATGATAGTGCCCCACATCAGACACAACACATCTGTACCACTATCCACTTATGGTTTTTGCTTCTAATGGTCGTGAGGAAAATACGGTCGATCCGCCCGAACTATTCTCCCTACTGGTTGTGTGAAACTGTTCTCGGCCACGATGTGATCGATTTTGCCCCTGATCTGGTTCATGTATTTTTTACTGAGAAATTCCGTTGATTGTGCAATAAATTGGGTTGATGTTCACACTGAGGCACTTGCTGAAGTAAGGGACCTGAGTAATCGGATTTATGTCCCTCGAATAAGTTACGTCACCGCCCAAAACTCTTCTATGTTTCATCTGGTTTTGGCGTGATGATACAACATAAAATGCATATTAAAAGGGCCGCACATGTCAAGGTCAACTTTCGAAAGTCAGCTTTTATGGTTTTTTAAATATATTTTTGGTTTTTTTTTCCGGGCCGCGTTATGTTACTTGAGTAGCTTGTAACCACATAATTTATCAGTTTATTTTAGCCTCAGAATTGGCATTATTTGGCTAATTTATGGTGCACTAAATGATAAAAGATATGCAAATTAGAGTACGTATGTACAACTTATTAAACACAGTCTCCTGAAACAGGAATTATTCATAAGAGACAACCACTATACATTTTATCCCAAGGTCGCGCAAACCTAAGTGGTAGTAGAAGAGTCCTAAGAACATCACGGTGGGAGATGAAGTTTGCACTAAACTTACACTTCACCCATCACCAACAATATATACAAGTATGTATAATGTAGGAAACTGAAATGTTTTTCCAAAACGAGAGTCATGTGGAACGATTTTATTTAAAACCTGTGATTTCATCTTTCTCACATGCAAATTCACAGTATCTTCATTCACAACGTGAACTTCATGAAGTCATCACCGAAACGCGAACTCGGACATGCTGGATTCCAGCCTAGTTGGCGATCTAATCGGCCACCAGATTGAATGATGATTACACGCCAACAGACTGGATACAGTAGTTGTGCACGGTTTGAGCAGAGTTGAGCAGAATAACGACTCTGCCGGACGGACGAACGCATTTATGAAAATATTTCACATTTGATCACACCAATAATTCAAAGAATAATGTAACCAATGCAGACGGTGAATGTTTGGATTAGCTCATTCGGTGTTTCACAAACACCAGACACTGTTGATGTTTTTGGCTGTATGGGGTTTCAGTCTAAACAATCGTTCTATCAATTGCATTGAGCCATTCGTCCAATGTACTGACTATCGGCCGGGTAGCTCCCCGAGAGTGAGGGTTTTGATTCTTAACTCGGAAGTTCGCGGTTCGAGTCCAGACACGGGAACACAAGAAATGTAAGCACCACTGACGAGTCCCAAATAGGACGAAACACCTGTCCAGAGCTCTGCGTTCGTCACCACGGAGATTTCTGTCGCACTAGGGATAATGCAAACACTGCGCTTTCGATCTTCAAAGTGATCAAGCAAAAGTACTATCACATTTTTCCGCTCTTCGTCTAGCACAAAATGACTGATTTTCATAAAGCCTGCTTGTCGGGGTTTTTGTGGCATCGTGCAGCATGAGATACTACCGTCCTTCGAAATTACCAATGCCTGATCATAGGCAAATCTTTTAGCTGAATAATGAGGACACCTGCAGCCTCGGTTGGATCCGGCACATTTGTTCAGCGCATGCTCTGTCAACTAAGAAAAAGTTGTGCGAATGCTCTTTGTGTACGTGGGCTGAGTGATCCCAATGTGATGTCAGTGAA